AATTAAGTAAACAACAATAATTTTTGTTAATTTATATTTATATAAACACAAGAACTTTTCTCAACAAAAATATTTTGTTCAGTGTTTTCATAGATTTAATTCCTTAATAATTTCAAATTTAAAAACAATTATGTAAAAAGGATGTCAAACATAATTGAGTTTTTGTTACGGAAATGAATTCAAACTTCTTAAATTTCTCAATATACATGATATAAGATTGAAACATGTATCATGAAATTAATAGTTTAATTGTATGGATGTCTATAAAGATAGTACAGAATACATTATTTATTTTCCAGTTCATAGAAAAATAAATATCCATTTATTAATAAAGAAGTATGGAAAATAGCATGCATGTATTTTAATGACATGTGGAGAACTCTCTTGTGTATAGGGTGCCTTGTTTGCATTGTATAGATCCACCATTTCAGGTAATCAACAGTGATAATTATTAGGAGTATAATCAAGTTTTCAGTGATTAACTTGTGTATACACAAGGTACACAAGACTGGTTACACCATACCTTAGGTATATAAACAAAAGTAAATCTGAAGGTTAGTGAAAAAATATACCTGGTATAATGTAATAATTATTAATAAACTTATACATGTATAATTTTTCTTGTATTATTTACATACAAGTATAAACATTAAATTGTGTCACTATGTTTAGCTGGATACTGTGAATTAAATGAATTAAATATTTTTTACAAAAATACCTGAAGCTGACCCATTTTTCCCCATAATTCTACATAATGGTACTTTCAACATTTCTACAGATCATGCTGCTAAAGATGGGCAATAATTTTGAATGCTGTTAAAAAAATCGTATATAACCCATTCTTTCCTGCATCAATGAATCATAAATGACACCTGCCATTGGTAAAATTAATACATAGCATAAATTAAAACATGTTTGAAAAAGTTGGCCAAGGGTTATCACATATTAACATTAAACTCAATTGACTGGAAACTGATTACCTCAAATAAATTTATTTACTATTCCTGTGAGAGAAAATTAATCAGTGCTGAATTTGTAAATTGTAATAAACTTGCATGAGAATGGATTTTGATATTTTTTTTTAAGTATTAATGAATTTATACAGATACGAATTAAAACATTACATGTACCTGTAATTGTGTACCAAAATATTTATAGTTTTAAGATTGATGCAATGAATCAAACAACACTTATTAAAAAATTAAGTTAAATATTACAATCAAATGCAGCAAAACTGTTATGTACTTGAGAAACTATCAAAACATAAGTATTAAATCAAAAGATTACATAGGTCATCTTGATGTACAAGTCAACTAAATGTTATTTATAAGTACAACATTAAAGTCTAACCTTTATAAATATTAGGGTAGTAATTAGTGCAAGATTTAAACATGTTTGGTCTGTGTAGCAGTGGCAGATCCAAAGGGGGGGGGGGGTAACAGGGATTTGCAACCCCCCATCCCTTTTGGATTTGCTAACAAGAGACACATAGACAGAGAGAGAGAGGGGGAAGGGGGGGAGACCCAATTTTTTGTTGTGTTTTTACGACAGAAATTGTTCAGTGAAAGGCTAATGTAGTAATGTATGAATAAATTTGGTTGCTGAAAGAAAATGCCCCCCCCCCCCCTACAAATTAGGATTTTCGGGTTCGGAGGGTTTTTTCCTTTAATTTTTTTTAACAAAAATTTTCAGGAAATCCATATTTTTTCCCTGGCTTCCCTCACCCTCACTTTTGAAAACGCTTCTACGCCCATGTATCCTATTAAGTTGTTAAACTATTACTGTATGTATATGTATGTTATAACAACCCTTTTTCCTCTTCACCCCCCCCCTTGAAAAGTTTCTAGATCCGCGCCCGTGTAGGATGTTTTAAAAGGTACGTACTACATGTAATATATAGGCATGGGCTTGCTCCAAATCTTTTTTGTTAAATCACACTGTTCAATCATACAGAAAAATGTACTAAGATTCAGCAACCAAACCATATAGATCTGCATGTGTACATTCCTAGAGGTATCATTCATGCAAGATTGATCACCACGGGGGGCTTACAGTTACTTCAGCTAGAATGAAACCTGCACAAAAAAAAAAAAGAAAAAAGAAATAATTCTGGTCACTCAACCAAAAAATGTAGGTCAGATCCAGCATCTGAAGCAAGTGTGGTAGTATACATGTACATCCTTATAGATGCATGATCCATGCAAGTTAAGTCACCGAAAGGCTACTTGGGCTGGGTACAATAATACCGATATTCTGGTGTATAGTGGTACATTGACAAAAATTATCCTATTGCATAAAATTTATTTATTTAGGTTTTATGACCCTTTCATGTATGAGTTATATTTTTTTATGCATAAAGTTTTGTAAGTTATAGCCATCATACTGCAAAACTTTTAGGATGATTTACTGTTGTATTTTCTTTATTCAGGTTAATAATAACATTTAATAATAATAAATTATACACTTGTTTCATTTATATAGCAGGTAACACAGATAAATTGGCAATTTGACTGAAATCGTGAGTGAAAAATTCTTATCAGATTGGCTGAAATTTTTGGGTAGATGACCATAATATGATCATTAACTTGTACACAGTGAATGCAAATAAACCTCAGAAAGACTTAATATCTAACTTACAAATGCATATGACATTTATTAAGTTTGAATGAGGTGTCATTGGTGTACGCTTGGGGTACATCCTTTGAATCCTCTAATTTGTGTATTGAATTAAGCAATAAACAGATAATGATCAATGTAATTAAGAAATGCACATAAACCTATTTTCATTTATTAAAGCTGAATTGGATGTTATTGAAATAGCTCAAATTTATTGGGATACTTAAGGGTATTATTTGGATACCTAGAGTTTCCTTAATTGGGGTTCTTGGTATCCTTTTGTGTATTAAAATATGCAATAAACAGTTACTAAGTTATTTACAAAAGCATTAAAACCATTTTTAGATTTATAAAGGTCAAACTGGTTGTCCTTGGGATATTTTGAGATATTTTGGGGGTTACCCTGGGATGTCCTTGTGGTAACTGAAGGCTATCCTTTGGTTCTTATGTGGGTATCATTTTATTTTGTGTATTGCACTATATACAATAATCAGTTACTATGTCATTTACAAATGCAAATATAAACCATATTTACATGTACATTTTTTTAAATAGTTAAATAGGGTGTCATTGAGATATTCCTAGGGTACCCTTGGGTATTCTTGTGGTACCTTAAGCCTAGGGTATTCTTTGGGTTTATGTGAGTTTCCATTGGTTCTGTGTATTGAAATACACCATTCATAGTTACAGGATTATTTTTTTCACACCATATAAAATATTATTAAAGTTCCTCAAAACTATACATGCATAATTGAGCTTAATTGTTTAAGTATACTACTTTTAAATTTTTATCTTGGATAACTGCTCTGTTTAGGACAATTAAAGTGTTAATTTGCCCTTCAAAAACATTTTTTTGTAGTTTACAAGTGCATATAAACCATATTTAGAATAATTAAGGATGTATATGGTGTCCCTGGGGTACCTTGTGGTATCCCTGGGGTTCCTTGTGGTTCCTTGTGGTACCTTGTGGTTCCTTGTGGTAAAAAGACGTACCCAGTCTAGACTTACCAACTGTCACGTGCGATTTCAAGAGAAGCGTCTAAGTACAGATTATAAAAGGTGCACTGAAAACATGGAAAACGTATCTGCGCTCGCCCTAACGGTCGCACCGTCAACATACTATAATTAAAATAAGAAATAACTAATTTAAAATTGAAAATTGTATTGTGAAGTAAGATTTTGAAAATAGTATTGTACTATATAGTACTTAGATAAATTGTTGTGAACATCAAATAAATAGGTAAAGAACAGCTAGGTCTTAATTTATATGGAATTAAAAGTTAATAAAAGTATAAAACTATGAACATCAAATAATATGTTTGACAGTGTTGCATTTCCTGAACAGAGATTAAGAAAGTGCATGTCTTTAATGAAGAGTGTTTAATCTTACTTTGGGCTGGCTGAAATTACTTCTATGTTTAAATTTACCTGAATTCAACTACACCTAAAAAATTTAAATCCTTCGAGGGAGGAAGAAAAAAGAAATAAACAAACAAATATACTTTAAAATATTTGTGCATCATGTAGGCTTATTGTTTAATGATCACTAAAATCTGTCAGTTTAAATGATAAACTCCTCCTAAATATACTCATACAGGGCCAAAATGTTGTCTTTTTTTATGGAATGCAGATTTTAGCTGCTAAAGGTAAAAGAAAACCAGAAAAGAAACTTTAAAAAATACTGATTTGTTTTGTTTTTTCAAAGTGCAATCTTCTCAGAAATATATGCGCTCAGGTGACGTTAAACATTGAATTTAAAACTTTGGACAGCTTAAGCTATTAAAATGAAAACATTTAATGTGAGGACATAATTTAGGCAGCCATATGCAATTTACAAGTAATTGTAAGCACAGATGTTCTTTTTTTTTTTACAGAAAGAATTCAGTTGGATCAAATTTGCAGATTACCAGATTTTTTTTTTTTTTTTTTTTTTTTTGTCCAGGCATTGCTTTAAAAGCTTGCTTCTCTCGCTCAAATATGTACTAACATATGTAGTCATACTTTGAAAAATCATGACATTTTTTAAATTTTATTACAGAATATATACTGTGTTTTTAAGCCCAATTCATGTTAACTGCCATAAAATGAAAGATCACAAGATATTGAAGATATTATCAACTTTCTACATTTAGAACCGATTTTTAACTGGTACTTTTATGGTTATAAATATTCTGAATCAATTTTGAGGAAAAATGTTTTAAATTCACAATGGTTTTCGTTGTCTAGTATTAAACAACTGCAGATTAATTAAATAATCAATGATGATAATTTATGTTCCCGTAGACAAATTGCCCCTGTCTTTCCTGTCCACTTGTAGGACATTTTTATGCATTTGTTTGCTTAAATATACAATTGTACATAATTTTCATAATTAAAAGCTTTACCCTTCTCTCTTCCTCTGTCAAAAAAGAATTATCCATCCTTCGTTCCTCATCTGTGTGCCTACCGGAAGTGGCACATCTGACTTTTAATCAAAGTCGTAAAATATTGTGCCCTGTTTGCTAACGTATCATTTTGTATAAAAGATATGCTGCATGAAGTACCAAGAGGGAAATTATCGTATGAAATTACACTTAAACTGCATAATAACGATTATTTAAAAAAAATTGTTTACGACTTCAATATTTAAACTGGTTCTTAATAGCTCAATCCAAAAAAGACTAGTTTAGTCTTGACAATAATAGTGTGACGTCACAATTCGCCATATTGCGCTGCAGCCAAAACACAAAGAAAACACAAACGGAAAGTTGGTATTTCTTTGTCTCCCCGTGAACAGATTATCATAAAAGTACATCGATCTGAACTCAAAGATATGGCACAGAGTCCCATTGGTGGGGCAGTGAAAGCTTTACAGCTTGAACTGAAAAAAATCCGCGAAGAACCAGTGGAGGGGTTTCGTGTTAACTTGATGAATGATGACAGTTTGTTCGAGTGGGAAGTGGCAATTTTCGGACCCCCTGGCACTATGTACGAGGGTGGATACTTTAAGGTGTGTAATAAATTAATAGGTTAGATAGAAAATGTATCGTTTTCTTGAAATTATTGTTGAAATTTTATAAATAGAACAAAGCAAAAAAAGGTTGGCAACCAAGATCATGATGTTTCTATAAATAGTGAAAAGTGCAGTGTGAATCAGAGGAAGTGTCTGTTAACTTTTTTAAAAAAAACTTTGTTACGTATACACCACTGATCTCATGATAAATAAAACCTATTTTACAGTTACACAAATTTTAATAAATATTTTACAAGAATATATATGAATTAATTTCCCTGCATTGGACATGTTGGACTATATGTAATAATGTGACATCAAATGGACAATACCCACGAATAGATAAAAATATCAGTATGATATCACATTGATTTCATGTGTACACCAATTAACGATTTTATGTGAAATGGGAAATTTAACTCAAGTATAATGATCACTAAGAGCTCGCAACTGAAATATAAGAAAAAAAATCATCAGAAAAGTTTCCAGTATAAACATGATAAACAAGCTACACAGAGTCAAGCATCTGAAGAAGCACAAGCCTGATCCCCCTTTCTCCTTAGAAAATATATTTAGACCACTTAAGTTCTTTTGAAAATTATGAACAAAAATTCAAAATAACTTTTCAAGAACATTGCTAGCAAACAGACAAGTAAATAGAAATCATTATCTCCTTGCTGGAATTTTGCTAAATGTACAAAGAAACATTGAAACAAAGATAAATTATGGTACAGTACTCTGTCATAAAATTTTGAAATTTTGAAATTTTCAATTTTTTTTTATTGCTTGACCCAGTCATTAAATCTGATGTAATTAAATGTAAACTATTTTGCCCATTGATGTCATGGGATAGTTGTGTTGTAAATATAAGCACATTACAAAGTACCCAAAACAATAAATTTTGTAAATTTACTTGTAATTCATTCAAATCAATACTGAATGAAAATAAGTAAATCTATTAATAGCAGTAAATAAGTATATATGTTTTTACCAGGAAATTTAATGTAAGAAGATGATAGATTTTACTAATGTGTATTGGTATCTTTTAGGCCCACATGAAGTTTCCTCAGGATTATCCATACAATCCCCCAAGTGTGAAGTTTATCTCCAAGATGTGGCACCCTAATGTGTATGAGGTAAAAAATTTTCTTACATTTTTTAGGTCATTTAATATTAAAGTTTAGAAGCAAGTAGGTTTTCTTTCCTTTTCTTTATTGACACTGTTTAGTGTATCAGAGATTTCTAGAAAGTCTTTATGTGAGTTTTCACAGGTCATCCCAAAACCCCATTTTTAAGACTTAATGATGTTAATATACTATCCTTCCCAACAAGTAAATAAATGAATATTAAATATGTCGCAACAGAATGTGGCTGTGTTTAATTTTTCAGCACTGCTTTTCTTGTTTTAGAATGGAGATGTATGTATATCTATATTACATCCACCTGTAGATGACCCACAGAGTGGTGAACTTCCTTCAGAGAGGTGGAATCCCACACAGAATGTCAGGTAGATCCCCCCTCTCTCTCTCTCTCTCTCTCTCTCTCTCTCTCTCTCAAATCACTGAGTGGATTGTAAAGTAAAATGACCTATGCCATGAGATGGAAGATTTCTGTTCATCTGCCTGTGTACTTTGAGTTATGTCTGTTTTGTTTGACTTCAAACTATCATCATCTGATCTCAAATAAGGTCACCCAAGATAAGATTCTTTACCCATCTCTAAAAGTTTACAAAGTTACACTAATTTCTTGTGTAGGTATGTTACAAATTATCCTAAAGCTTTCATACAGACTTCTGAAATTAGCATTCACTTTCAACCAAAATCATAATTCCTGTCCACTTGATCTTCTATGATTATCACTGTTCAACTTCACTTTTAGGTAAATCATAAATACACATAGTTATTTTTAACATATTCATTTCAGATTCCCTTTTGAGGTTGAGTTTGTCCGTGACTTCTGACCTTACTATTAATAGATGTTAAACATTTAGCTCTCTTAAAGTGACCTTGTAGGACTATATCTATGAAAATGCTCACATTTGTGATGCTTTGCAATTCATCAATATTGTCTAAAGCAGTTTCTTGTTTTGTGATTATAATTAATTGACCCAAACCTCCGTCAAGTGATGAGTCATGGAAAATATGCTACTATTTTATGAACATTGATTAAATTATTTTCAGGACAATCCTGTTAAGTATAATTTCTCTGTTAAATGAGCCCAACACATTTTCCCCTGCCAATGTGGATGCTTCTGTTATGTACAGAAAGTGGAAGGATTCTAAAGGAAAGGACAAAGAATACGAAAATATAATCAGGTGAGCAAAAATTTCATAAAAACACATTAGCTTTGGGAAGTGTTCAAGGATGATTCCCACTGCAAGGAAAAGTAAAAATACAAAAATACTCATATATTGCATTATTTATGGAATGAATTTAATAGCTACCATATTTATACAGTATAAACTTGGTTGGGGCAGTCTATGCTTTATAAACTGCGAGGCAGTTATAAAGAAGTGTGAACAGTTTCAACCCAGTTTATACCTTATGAATTAGTTTATACCTTATAAATTAGGTAGCTATTAAATTCATTCCTTTTAATTTTCATTTATAAGATGATTGCCTTTACAAAAAGTAACATCAAAATTCAAATGTAATGTCAGATGATCGATATGTTTAAGTCATTGTGACACAACAATACAGTTTATACGATGAAATTTTTTTATCCAATCAAATGCTATTTATTTACTACTAGCATGATAGTTCATGCAGAAAAAAAAAATCATCCTTGGATAGTAAAAGACTGATAGAATCTGACAATCAAAGAAAATATGATTCCCAACTCTCAAATGAACAATTAAATTGAAATTATTATAAATTAAATTAAAGTTATCATTTTACATTTATTAATACATTTCAAAAACTTTACTCCAATTGTCAATCTACACAATCCATTGTGGGATACGGATCTTAAAAATCAGTTTGTGTGGTAATTGAATATCATACAGTTTCAAAGTATTGTATCATGAGCTATTAAACATGAATTAATGTGCTAATTATCAACTCTAAAATTCAAAAGACATAAACTGTCCAGGGTATTTTTTGAAAAGTAGGTCAAAGGTCAAGGTCAAGTGGATTGTAATGATGGTATTTTTCATAATGTTTTATGACAATCAGTATACATGCTAAATAGCATAGACTTACCTCTTAAATATCAAAAATATGCTATATATTGGCACTTTTAGCATAATAATGGATCAAAGGTCATGGGCCTTGAAGTTGGTAACCATGGCAATAAGTGCCAAGCAATAAATGTGCAAAATATCAAAGTCATATATCTTACAGTTCTTGAGATACAAGGTTTGACAGACGGACAGCTAGACAGACAGACACAGGGTAAAGTGATCCCTAAGTGTCGCTCTGCTCTGCAGGTGACAAAAATGCAGATATTGATTGGAAATGTGTATGTGTATATGAGTTTCTTTGTCCATGATGATGGGTTAAAGGTCAACATATCTTTTTTAAAGCAAAAAATTTAAAATTTTAAAAAATGTAGTTAAATGATTACTGATATGAATAGTAGTAACTCGTGACCCAATACCATGTTTTAACCACTCACAGCAGTAGTGCAGAAAATACTTGTGTATTTAACCAAATAAGAATTATTCATATTTACTGGTATTTCAGACCCAGAAAGAGCCTCTCTTTTACAATAACAACAATTATCAAAGCAGAAGTATACTTCACTTTCTAGTAAATTCAGTAGAAGTAAATGACTTAGCCATAAAGAAAGTTTTATTACTTATTTCAATCAGTAGTATGTTGATTATTCAAATACAACAGATTTACATGTATAAATCATATTTTAGCATTTGTATAATGTATGTAACATCAGCTTAACAAGATATGTGTGCAGAATACTTATATGAGTAAAAGATTAATGGCAGGATGTTAGAATTGCTGCTATATTATATTACTGTGCAAGAAATGTTCAAATTGAATTTGTTTCAGTAAAATATTGTATAAAGCTTCAAAATAAATATACTCTTTATAACATAAGAAAAGAAACACATCTTAATTATGATCGATAAAATGAAATAGAATCTTTCAACTGCTATTGGTATTTACAGAAAACAAGTTCAGGCCACTAAGGAAGATGCGGAGCGTGATGGAGTGAATGTTCCCACCACATTACAAGAATATTGTGTTTCAATCAAACCCCAGACCTCCCACAACAGTGTGGATGATACGGACTTTTATGATGAGGACTATGACTTGGATGATGATGAAGAAGAAGATAATTATTATGATGATGAGGATGATGATGATGATTCTGGAAATGGGGGTGAAGAATCATGATGCCTGTTTATGTATTTTATTTTATTTTTGTTTGTGCAAAAAAGCCCAAAAAAGTCAGAAAGAGGAAGTTGTGGCTCAGTGTTAAACACAGCAGATTTGTTGTATCTGGTATTTTTACTAGATTTTTTCATAATCATCCACTGATGCATTTAGAGGATGAAAAAGTTAATCCTTTTAAAACATGAATAAAATTTGAACTATCTAAACTATCATTGTTATCCAAGTATTAAGTTTGAAGTAGATAAATAAATTACAGTTTGACAGTTGGAACCACTACTGTTTGAGCTGAAAAAGATATGATCTATTTAAAAATGTCATAAAGCAAGACAGAATATGTTGTATATTTAAACATAATCACAATTAATATTTGGTGCTAGACTGTTTATCTTGGTAGATTATGTTGATAATAAAATTATTTCAGATTAACACGATGAAGTTAAAAGATGATCAAAGTTTCTTAGAAAGTGTTTTCTCAAAAATTAAATTATTGATTTGTACTCAAAGAAAAACTGAGTTCTGATATATGCACAATTGATATTCACAATGTCTGACTACCATATTAATAATTTTTTAAAGAATCATTATTATTAAAGAAAGGAAATCTTTATTCCTGCATTATAATATTACAACTGACTTTTCATCTATTTAAATTGATGTTCTTAATATTCAACACATGGAATAGTTAACCTAGATTAAATTATAATTAATGCTTTTTAAACCAATCAAAAGTCAAAATGGCTTATTTCTAGTGGTAAGGAGAGTCTGCCATGCAACACTGCTATACAGTAAAACATAGCGAAGTGCCAGGGACGAACAGTTTTTATTTGTTAAAAATGTTATTCTGTCATTCATTGAGAATGAAAATAACTTTGCTGTAAGAGTGAATTCAATATAAGTGTGTATGCTGTAAAAGTGTTAACTGTCCACACTTTGGTAATGGCATAGTCAAGGCTGTTCATGTGGTAGATGCCTGTGTCTATGTCAGTATGTCAGTCAAAACAAGGATTATCCTGTGGAATCTTACCAACTTATGAAGATTGTCTTGTGCATTATTTTATAAGTTGGTATTTAAGTCGATTATTTGATTATAACAGCTGTATGCTATCTGCTTAGCAGTGTTAGTTTGTGTTTGACATTTGATATCAAGGAAGCCATTTCTTACAAGATTTGGTATGCAAGATTGACATTATTTTTCTTGTTTCATTTCATAATTATTTTTTTATATATATGGAGACAAATGACTCCTAACTTGTCAATGAATGGAAGTATACATTATATGGCTGGTGTTAATATATATGTGTTTATTTCCCTTTAGTAGAGATCTCACAACTTAGTCTGATAATGCGCAGAAGGTTAAAACGTACTGATAATGCTGTTGAAACAAAAGTATTTGGTGAGAAATCTTTGGTGTAAACTTTATTTTGGAACTGGTAATAGTATTGCAAAGCATGGTGAGAGACATGTAACAATTTTTGTTAAACTATGAATATATTATTAAGTCTGGTAGTCAAGTTTTTTGGTCAACCTTTTTTTAAACGGTGTTTTACCAACAAATGGAAAATCAGCATATTTTTGATAATGTGCAAATATGGCAAGAAATTTTCATATTTATCCTTAGAATTTGTATGGATTGCACATGTTTACACCCCATACAATACTTTGTTTTTTAATAATTTAGTTATAAAGTGTGTGGTGATCGTCCATTTTAACCAATACACATCATGTGTACATGTGTTGGATTGCAAGTTTGTTAATATTTAGATGTTGTTGTTCACATAATTGTGTTTATTTTTAAAATTCATTGTGGTTATTGTGCAAAGAGTTCTTATTTATGAATATATAAAGTAATTCTATTATGATTCGTGTAGAAGCTTTCATTTGTAAAAGTAATGGACACATTTTCAGTTAATAATTTTGTGTAAATCCTGCAGTAAGAGTTACAGTTCTTTAACCTGATGGCTAGAATCAAGATTGTTGCATTATTTGTAAAACTGCATTTTCCCATCAGTGTTTGGCATTTGATTGTTGACTTTAAAAATTGTTTTTAGTTTTCATACTAGTAGTATGTTCTAACTATGTTTTCATATCAAATGGACAAATGTCGGAGGAATATGGCAAAGTATGTGTATTATAAAATCAAAGTTATTTAACCATTGGGTGGCTGAAATGTTGTTCATATAATGTCATTAGTGAAGTGATATGATAAAAAAACATTATATTGTGTTTACACATTCCTCTGTCAGATTTGGGAAATGCAAGGGAAAAGAAATCTGTGCAATTTAAATGTGTAAATGATAAGGTTCTGTGTTGATGTGATTGTCAAATCAATTTATCTTCAGATAATAAATTATCAAATGCTAAATACTGTATGTCTGAATTGATAAATGATTACTTATTAGCTCACCAGACCTGAAAACAAGTTCTCATACCTTTCAATTATATCTTGTCTGTGGGTTGGTGGGGGTCCCTTTTTTATGCCCCTCCATGAAATGCACATAGTGTTACCCTTTCTGTCCATCATTCTGTCCGAGTTTTCCGGAATTTTTTCTGTTACTTGTAGATAGTGAGCTGATTTTTTTTATGCCTATTTATATTGATGACATATTTTATCAAGTTTTAGTTTCACAACAATTGATTAGTTGGACTTTAGACTTTCAAGATTTCCTATTATTTTTATTGTTTTCTGGACTACTGAGAAACATTTTGGATAATGAGCTGATTATTGGTATGTCTCTTGATATTGATGACTTAGAGAATAACAAATCAAGTTTCACAATCAAGCTCACATTGTGTATACAAGCACTGCAGTAATTATGGTCTCGATAAAACACAAGATTCAAAAGTGTTAGAAAAAGAAAGAAAAGAAAAAGCTACCATGTGCAGTGATGTGTTGTTTGCAGCTATCGGAGTTTGGGAGTAATAATCGCGAAATATGTTTTAATCAGTCTTATCCATATTTCAGTATAGAAATACAAGAAAAAATATTTCTTGGATAAACTTAACTTAATCTTATTTACAGGGAAGCTTTGATTCAATATATTTTGGACAAATTCTGACATCTTTAATTTCGAAGACACCCGAGTTTTCTCGCTATCGAGGACGTGTCCACTCATGAGTCCGCGGACGCATCGTTTTCAAGAACATTGCGTCCCAACTAATTTTGCTGCGTCTTGTACGCAGATTCTTGCGTTAATGAGAACCCTGTATAACAGATCAAGTTTCACATCGTTCAACCCATTTTTTAAACATTTCTAATTATTCACCTTTTTCCTGACTTTTTAGCTCACATGAGCCAAAGGCTGAAATGATTTTCTGATCAAAATTTGTCCGTTGTCATTGTCTTCATTGTTGTTGTTGGCGTCGTCTTTCATAAACTTTTCACATTTTCAACTTCTTCTCAGGAAGCACTGGGCCAATTGCAACCAAACCTGGCACATATTATTCTTTAGTAAAGGGAATTCAAGTTTATTCAAATGGAAAGGTCACGCCTGCTTTCAAATTAAAAAAATTACCAAGTTTTTCTAGGGTCAATAACATCAAATTGTACGACTTTTCTACACTTTATACAACCATTCCTCTTGATAAATTAAAAAATAGGCTTTTTGATATCATAGACAACACTGCTTCTTCAATAAAAATGGAACTCAGAAATTTTCTTATCCTATGATTGGTCATCAACAAAATCACTTTGTTAAAAATCACCGTGGCTCTGGTTCTACACATAAGAACTCTGAAGTTGATTTTAAAAGGATGCTGGAGTTCCTTATTTACAACATTTTTGTAGTCCTTCCAACAACTGTTGGAATTTGATGGGCACTAGTTGTGCTCCTTTATTAGCTGACCTGTTTTTATTTTCACATGAGGCAGAGTTTATTAAAAAACTTCTTCATGAGAAGAAACCACTTGCTGTGGCCTTCAAATCGACATTCAGACATATAAAGGACGTTTTATCAATTAATAATGGTTATATTCCATTCATATACCGACTCTATATATCCCAGTGAACATGAAATTAAAGACACGTTATGACGAACTTGTTAACAAATATAACCTTTCACTGGGTCTTATTTTGGCTGAGGTCTTTTATACCAATTGTTAGGCCTTTGTTTTTATACTAAATTTGATTATGGAATGTTCCGTCTACCTGATAAATACATAGCTATAGAACTGTAGCTCTCTGGTTCAGAAAATTCGGAAGAAAAACCAGAGAGCCATACAGATCCATGCATTTTAAAAACCTTCGATTTACGGCGACACTTTTTGTCGCTCGCTTCGGGTATTTTTTCATATATTATATGCACTGCACTGCCCCACTTAAAGGATGATATTATTTAATTAACCATTATTTACTTGTATTCCCGATACTTTATTTACCGGCTTTTAATGGTTACAAACAACCCTTTATGGATTGGAATATCACTTTTTAAAATTCGCATTCCGACGCCCATATGGTAGGGGAGAACGCATATAATTCAAGAAATAATACCCGAAGCGAGCGAAAAAAAAACGTTGCCGCAAATCGAAGGTTTTTACAATGCATGGATCTGTAGCTCTATGGTTTGTCTGTCCGAATTTTATTAACAATGAACTACAGTTCTGCAGCTAAGCAACACAGGGCTCACGACGGGTGTGACCAGTCAACAGGGAATGCTTACTTCTCTTAGACACCGGGGTCCGTGTTTTATGCCCTGTTCACAGATTTGTATTGTTTGTCTAGATTTCATGAGATCTATCGCTGTTCGTTATCTTCACCTTTTTATCCAAGGGGAGATAATAAAGAATTAGTGAAAATTAAATGGCATCTTAAAGAAATCTTTTTCCTAAGAAATATGGGCAAGAAATGAAACTTACGTGAAAGCTTCTTATGAGGGGCGGTTTTGGTATTTTCTCTCATTAAGTGATATCACCTATTCGAATTGGTGATATCATCTATTCAGCTTTTTAATTGGTGATATCGCCTATTCAATAGGTGATATTTCACCTATTCAATAGGTGATATTACCTTTTCGATAAGGTGATATCACCTATTCGAATAGATGATATCACCGATTTGATTTGAAATGGTGATATCACCTTTTCAAATATGTGATATCACCTATTCAAATCAAATAGGTGATATCACCTATTCCTTTTGAATAGGTGATATCACTTAAACTTTGTATGAAATGATTACTGCTCCCAAGATTACACGTGTACTGCTTAAATTTACTCTATACAGGAAGTAAACAATTCAGTTTCTTTATACATAAATATAGGATCTCCAATGATTTGTGGTTGGATATGATTTTTATCCAACTTGTTGTGTGTTTTTATCCCTGAGCCTTGGCGAGGGGATAAAAAACACACAACAAGTTGGATAAAAATCATATCTAACCACAAATCATGGAAGATTCTTTTTATCACATGTTTTATAAATTACTATCAATGTTTTGCACTGTTTTCATATATGAATCCACACTATTTCACTTCATTACTTTCACGCAAAAGCCATTGTGACATCACAACAGTGGGATATGAAAAAAAATATCCAAAAAAATGATATCCAAGGGATAAAGGAGTAATTAAACATGTGATACATAATGATAACAGAGAGAAAGTATCAATTAATATATCAAAACTGACTGTAAGTAAAAATATACATTTAACGTCACAGAGATCGATAACATATACACAGGCGCTTGTGGGGGCTGGATCGTTGGAACCCCCCTTCCATTTTTTTCGTTTTTAAATCTGGGGTCGACGCACCCTTTTCCAATTTTTGTATTCTAATATGCACTACCTATTATTGATAATGCAACCCTTTTTGTCTCAAATAAGCTGTTTTTAAATATATCGTTTTCGACTGATACATCTTTTTATGTATCAGTCGAAAACGATATATTTAAAAACGGCTTATTGAGACAAAGGGGTTACATTATCGATATCAGACAGTGCATATTAAAATACAAAAATAGGAAAATAGGCAAGCGCTTGTGAACATATGGTGCTTTAAATTGTGTCAGACTTTACCACATTGTGTTTTAAATTCAAACAAACGGATACGGTATGTTGACAGTTCACCTGTCACATGGCAGTGCAGAAAATGTACATGTAACGAGAGAGATGTGTTATTTTTATGTATCCAATAGATATCAATAGGACCTATGTGGCTTTTCTTATAACATTCCGAAAGGTGAGCATTTTGCTTCTTTACTATGTATGAAATCTAATTGCTATAAATAATAGAATTCATTTCGAGAAATTATTTATGTGAGAGGCATTTTAGGCCCCCCTCCCAACAGTGCCTTCGTTCTACTTATACTTCACCCAGTTCTTGCAGTTTTCTCTTTTGCATTAAAAATGATTAATCAATTAGCTTCATTATTTTGTATTTTTCTAAAGCGGAGATTTGCAAAGTTCACCCGTTTTAAAATTAGTAATATCTCTAAAGATTCCTTTTCCAGTACTAGTATTTCAATGCCATAACGAGTTTAGGAAAATAGGTGTTCTCATAATCCTATCATAGTTTAGATGAGGACGATTTTAAAATAGATATCTTTCATTTTGAATTTCTCGAATCGACTTATTTTAGTTTCAAATACCTGGAAATCAACTTTCTTTTTCTCCTCATTGTGAACAATGTAAATGCAATTTTTAGAAAAGATTTGTCTACTTCGAAGAAAAGGATTTACTGTAAAGTATTAATGTATTTTATTAAGATTGTATAAATATTTGGCGGAAAATGATTTTTCAAGAAGTGCAGCCGAGTTTCCTTTGTGAATTTTTGAATGCGTTTTCCGCAAAATACTACAAATAATTACAATAGACAGGCAAATGTAATACGTTTATAATATCGGTTTAGGCATGGTTGTATGTCTTTTTGTTTAAGCAGTTTCTTTATCACAAAATCATGTCATGGCCCTAACTCTCGAGTCCTTCACTGGAATGTTCATGTTGCTGCAATACTACATGAGCACAAGTTAGACATTGCTCGACGACCCTGTGCTTTTGAGACAATTCCTCTAATCTAGATCATACCCTTCCAATAAGATATGAGCATTGTTTCCCTTCCATCTAAGGGCTCTTTTCTGACAATTTCAATATCTGGTTTTCCAGTGACGTTGATCTTTGATGTATGGTCTTGAGTCGACTGATTTTTTATTTGACACTCGTTTAGGTCGTGGGCAGCAACAATCATTCCCAATCAACGCGGCAACTTATCAGGTCATGATTGATTAGAATTAAATAGAAGATCTAGAAATAATCGCAAAATATTCTGAATTAGGAGTACAAGATTCAAGCGTACTATCTTTAAGGACATATGCAACATAGTTTGAACTTTATTGTCTTTTCCCCTGGAGTTGAAGAGTTCCAATACTTAAAGAACTGTGTGCTACATTTAAATGTCTATATATGCTGTTGTACATTTCTTCTAAAACAAGTTTGGATAAACAAAACATCTAGAATATATGTTTAGTAATTTTTGAATATTTTTCTTTGAAGTATACAAGAATTTTCATCAATTGATATCTTTTCAAAATCCCTGGTAATGCATGCTGATTTTTTGTCTACGAACATTTGATTACACTATAATCTTAAATTAAGAATATCTTGAAAAATTATCAGTAGGTAAGGTACGTTGCGTATGTCCTTAAAGGTCATAAGCTGTTCAATTCTAAAAAAAATGTTAAGAAAAGCTGACAATTAAAAGAATCAGGTATCTGAAAATATATTTATATAATAAGTAATGAAAATCGTTATTGAACTGAAATATGTTTCACCGTTCAAATAAATTAGAGGATTTTTTTTTCTCCTTTCAATTTAAGTTGAGGTGACCATGGGAATAAGGGGATTAAACAGTTTTATTCAGAAAAATGAGTGTCTTTTCCTAAAGAGCTACGAGTTGAAGCATACTGAACTCGTCATAGATGGACCAAACATTTTACATAAACTGTTTGAAACAAATACAGATATGAAAAACTTGTATGGCGGGGACTACAACAAATTTGCAGTCGTTATTCGAGAATTCTTCAGATCTCTTGAAAGTTGTGGAGTTTGTCCAATTGTTGTGATGGACGGTGGACATGCAGTAGATAATAGAAAATTAGCAACAAGAAAAGAAAGAGCCGAGCAACGATTTTCAAGTTGCAGAAGTGAGTCATCTGATGGCTACAAAAATCTTCCAATTTTAGGATACAACTTGTTTATAGAAGTATTAAGGGACATGGGCATTCAAGTCCGCGCTTGTAAATTCGAGGCTGACAAAGAGATAGCAGTTATTGCTAATGAAAAAGGATGTCCTGTTCTTTCTCAGGACTCGGACTTTTATGTTGTACGTATCGTTGGAGGATTTCTTCCATTTGACCTTCTTAAGAAAGAAAAGAACAATGACCATTTCCCAGCAAAAATCTACCACGTAGAAGACTTTATTTCTCAATTTCCTAAACTTGGCGAGGATGTTTTTCCGCTTATTGCTATTCTCTTTGGAAATGACTATACAAAAGATAAAGACTTCCAACCATTTTTAAAATCACTTCCCATACCAAAGACCACCACATCTCATGCTTTGGAAGCAGTAAATAAATACCAAATGAAAATAATCCATTGGCTCTTGCAGATGGAATCATTTCAGATTGCTAAGAACCAGATCGAAGGAGTAATGGAAGGGGAAAATATAGAAAACATTCTTACAGTTGTTGTCAATGCTTACTCCCTTGACCAACCATCATTACCATGTGCTGTTCCTTTGCCAGAATGGTTTTTATTGGATCATGAGAATTGTATCATTGCCAGTATTTTTATGACAATAATTACTTCACAAAGAATATTTTTGTCAAGCCAGCCTGAAGATTTTAAGAGTCCATCTTCTTACCAATGCTCCAAATCTTTGAGACAAATTCTATATAGTATTTTGTTGAAAGATTGTGGAAAACCCACAGTAGAAGAGTTTGATAGAAAAGCAGGTATCCCAGCCTTAACATTGGATACCTGTGTACTACCTGTATACGATAAAATTGGACATTTCACAGTCCCAGGTTTAACTGAGATTGGGGCAAATGAGGCAAAAACTGTGGACGACAGGAAAGAGTTAGTTAAAACTGCTTTGCAACTAGGGAGTCAGTTTGATGCCTACGAAACAGAGGACCCAGAACTGAGTCTTTTGCTTGGATTGACATCTTTTTGGTACAAGAATTCAACCCCCCAAGTTACGGCGTGTCATCTGTCGTCACTGATTGTTTGCTGGATAATGCTTGGTATAGAACATCGTGTCAAAAACCCAACAGGACCATCGAAAGACAATACAATAGGTAGAGCAGTATCTAGAACTGATTCACAGGTTTTGGGAAAAATATATGGGAATCTAACACCATACTGCGAAGCAAGTACTAGTACAACAAAGGAAACTAGGTCAGACATAGTACACGCTTTTGCACAATTTCAGACATGTGCAATTTCTGCTCATGATCTAAATTCAATTCTACGATTCCCATTTCCTAGTTTTCATGTCGAGCATTTATTTTTTGGTAAATTTCTGCATGATTTCTGCATAGCCATCGAAATGGAGCCAAACAGAGATGAATTTAATTTTAGAATCCTAGAAGCTGACAACGGTCTCTCAGATTTGTACAAAAATATCATTCAAGAATTCAAAAAAAAAATTTCATAAAAAACAAACCTCTTTAGCAGAACTGTGTATGTTTCTAAGACTTTTGCATGAAAGTGTCAAATATATACTAGTACATGTACACGTTTTGTATTGTCATCGTAAAAATTGTTTTGGTTTCTTGATTTATCTTGTATTGAATAAAAAGTGGTTTACAGTATTTCCTCATATTTTTTGTCGAAATTGATGAAAATATAACAAAGCAAAATATAATAATTATTTTGGATCAAAAATTCGGAAAAAATCGTCGGAGCAAAACTTTACTTTCCGACAATTAAATAAGTCATAGTCATTTATTTACATGTACTTCTGAATGTGCACTCGTGCAGCATTGAGGTCAATTTAATTAAACATATTTTGAATTCAAATCCAAAAAAGCATATATATATATATATATATATATATATATATATATATATATATATATATATATATATATATATATATATATATATATATATATCTGTGTACCCGCAAAGAGCTTACATTCGGTGCTCGTGACCAATTCAGTATATATATACAAGACCATTTGTTCACACTACTACTATGCAGTGTTTCGTGATTTGGAATCAAGTAAGTTTAGTATGTAATCTTCAGTCGGTATGGATGCCATTAATAATAATCAAGTAATCATGCAGAGGCTACTGAATATTTGAGTAGGAAAATTGTCATCTAAACTACTATTTTCTTGCAAAGTCACGGAAATTTTAAAATATGATCTGAAGCATTTTTAAATGGCGTCTTCAATTTACAGTGGTTAGCGATTCTTACCTGATTAGGTCAAATTACAGTAAAATGAGAAAGAAGGCAAATTTTTATTACTGGCACAGAATTCCTGACTTTTATATGGATGTCATAATAAATTATTTTTTTTATTCTCACCTGTACAGTACTTAAAAAGGGGATCTACCAATGACACTAAAAGATGAAGTTTCACATATAGGGATTCTTACTTAGAAAAAAGTTATTTATAGCTTAATAATTCAAGTTCAGAGATATGATCACAATAAATAATATTTTGGATTGTTTGATAGAGTACATGTAGGGCCATTTGCCCTAGATAGGGCCATTTGCATAAGTGCAAGTTGTTCACAACACGCTGTCGCGCTAACGCACAACTCGCCGTCACGCTAATGCATCTTTACAACTATCACACGTCGTCGCACTGACACAGCTTTACACAATTCATTGCTTGTTAGCGCAGCGGCATGTTGTGTAAAGTTGCAATAGCGTGACGGCATATTGTGTAAAGCTGCATTAGTGTGACGGCGGGTTGTGTGTTAGCGCGACGGCGTTTTGTATAAAGTTGCGTTAGCTCAACGGCTTGTTGTGTGTTAGCGCGACGACGTGTTGTGTACAACATGCCGGCGCGTTGTTACTAATGTGAACAACGCACCGGCGTGTTGTTACTAAAGTCCTGACTTTTGCAAGTGAAAGCGCGATAGCGCAAAGTGACATCACGCCGGCGCAATGTGTAAAATGTCTCTTTGTGCTGGTGCGTCGTCACTTTATACCGGCGCTTTGTTACTAACAGGCTGTTATCACTTTTATGACAACGCGCTACTGCAAAGTGACAACGCACTGTCGCTTTGTGTACAACGTGTTAGCGCGTTGTCACTTCGCGCAATCGCGTTGTTACTAACACGCAGTTACACTTTTGCAAATGGCCCTATTGGGACACCATAAGTACATCTCTTAGATGATATATATTTTGGACTTGCAAAAAAGTAATGGTAAGCATCTTCAACAGTATCATTACAGTGAACACGCATTGGCATTTCTGATAAACAATTATTACAGAAGTCTGCTATCAAATTACTTGCATTAATGACAATGTATTATGTTGCATTTTCTTATTCCAAAATGAAAAAGTTCATTGCCTTTTTTACAAACATAAGATTTCAAAAGATTCTAGAGTGAAGATATTCCAGAATCATTTCTAATATAATCTGGGAAGTTATTCCACTGTTTAACTGTTGATGGCATAAAACTTTCCACATAAGATGTAGTTCTAATGTGAGGAATTTTGTATCTGCATCATTTTCCAGGAAAACTGTTCAAAGACATTGGTAAAATTTATGCAAATAATCATGATAATTTTTTCAATTACTTTTATTATCTTGGTCTAATATATACTTACCTTGTCATTGGTCATTTGCAAAACTTTTTTCTTAGAAAAACATTCTGATTGTGTACACAGGTACCCTGAAGTTGATATTATAAAGATGCTTGAGTTTCTGATTGACAATATCTATGTGGTTTTTGGAGACCAGGTCTTCCAACAATCTATTGGAATTCCCATGGGTACCAATTGCGCCCCGTTATTATCGTATCCATATGAAGCAGAATTTGTCCAAAATCTTATACGTGAAAAGAAGAAAACACTTGCTGTGGCCTTCAATTCGACATTTAGATATATCGACGACATATTGTCAATTAACAATGGCTATTTCCATTCTTATACCGATACGATATCTCCCGGTGAACTTGAGATAAAAGATACCACAGAGTCTGACACATCTGTTTCATATTTGGATATTTTACTTGAAAAAGATGTTAATGGTAATCTAACAACCAAGCTTTATGATAAACGTGATGACTTTAACTTTTCAATCGTCAACTTCCCTTACTTATGCAGCAATATACCTTCATCACCTGCATACGGGGTATATATCTCTCAGTTGATTCGATACGCAGGAGCATGCTCTACGTATGTACAATTTCTAAAACGAGGTAAATTATTGACAAACAAGTTGATGAAACAAGAATATCAGCTGTCTCGTTTAAAGTCATCATTTCGTAAGTTCTATGGTCGATACAACAAGAGCACCGCTAAGCGGAGCATCCCCTCGCGCCAGGCACTACACTGGTAATGGTAAATTCTCAAGAGGGACGTTAATGAAGATACAATCAACTATTTAGGTTTAAAATATTTAAAGGTAAAGAAAATAAAATATATTGCAGCACAATTTTAACAAAATTATCTTGGGGTGGGGTGGGGGCATTTTTAAATCAAAGTGCATAAAATCGTGGGGGAGGGGGGAATAACATGCATACGTAAGTGGGCAGTTTCCCTTATTCCTAGCAGAAACATATCACGTATGCTCTAAGTTTCAGTAATTTACCTACCTATGTAAATGTCAAAGTTGTATGCAATATGCATAAAATCTGAGAATACCCGCGGAAGCAATATTTCTTCGTAATAAAAAATGAAAATATACCGGTGTTGAGAGGTCACTGAAACTTGTGAAATGTCTTTATAGCTTTCGGGAATTACATGCGCCTCAAGAATAAATTCCATGTTGTAAACAGACACCTGTGGAAATTTGGTCATGAAACCGCGACGTTCATCAAATCATTTCAATTACTCAGCGTCAGAGATGACACTTTTACATGTAGTTTATACAGACTGTCTCAAGATACGCACAATAATATGACAATACGTAAATACAAAGTAGAACTTACTGAACTCTTAAGCGAACCGAATTTTCCAGGTTGATTAAGCGGAAGCCAGTATTGTCAAGTCGTACATAAAATTTCAGGGTTTTAGGGTAGTAAAATCGCGATATTTTAAGAAATATTTTACCGATTAATTTGAAAATGAATAGGGTTCGTCCTTTTACAATGCCACATAAGTATGTCGAAGCTGAGAATTGATCGATAGTCCAAAGGTTCTCTTTAAATCTTGCCCACAAGCTGTAACGGACACACTAACACACACACATACGCACAGTAGCGATGCTATATCCCCTCCGCAACTAGTTGCGCGAGGGGATAATGACCTTGTCAGCAATTGCAATTTATCATTGAGCCAAATGCTGACTGATGTTTTTCATACTAATTGTTAGGCCATTCTTTACACACTGAATTGTCGACGTATTTTTCCGTTATTACTCGATCATGACAAAGAGCACACGGCGGATGTGACCGGTCGGCAGGGAATGCTCACTCCTCCATGGCACCTGATCCCACCTCTGATGTTTGGAGGTCCGTGTTTCCTCTGCTCCTATTTTGTATTGTGTAATGGACTTTTGAGCTTGAGTACTGTTCGTTTTCTTCATATATTTCATTCTCTACTTTACAAAGTTTTCAAAAAATGCGACAAAAACACAGGACAGGCCACTCTTAGTTCATTTTAATTCCAAACCAATGACTGATTGATTGTATGTTGTTTAACGTCCCATTCGAGAATTTTTCACTCATAAATTTATTTTGACCTATTCTCGGCACTCAGGGCCATTGAGCAGTGATGACTTTAAACGAGACTGCCTATATTCTTGTTTCATCAACTTGTGTGTCATAACTTACCTCGTTTTAGAAATTGTTCATACGAAGAGCATGCTCTTGTGTATCGAATCAACTGAGAGATATAAACCCCGTATGCAGGTGATGAAGGTATATTGCTGCATAAGTAAGGGAGGTTGGCGATTGAAAAGTTAAAGTAATCATGTTTACCATAAAGCTTTATTGTGAGATCACCATTAAAGTCTTTTTCTAATAAAATACCCGTGTCAGACTCTGTGGTATCTTTTATTTCAAGCTCACTGGGATATATCGTATCGAATACGAATGGAAATAACCATTGTTAATTGACAATGTGTCGTCGATATATCTAAATGTCGAGTTGAAGGCCACAACAAGCGTTTTCTTCTTTTCACGTTCAAGATCTTGAACATATTCTGCTTCATATGAATACAAAAATAGGTCTGCTAATAACCGGGCGCAATTGGTACCCATGGAAATTCCAATAGATAGTTGGAAGACCTGGTCTCCAAAAACCACATAGATATTGTCAATCAGAAACTCAAGCATCTTTTTAATATTAACTCCAGGGTACTTATGTGTACAATCAGAATGCTTTTTAACAAAATAATTTTGCAAATGACCAATGACAAGGTAAGTAAATTTACGAGTACCATTTTTATTGAAAAAGCAGTTGTCAATGATGGGAATTCCAATAGATAGTTGGAAGACCTGGTCTTCAAAAACCCCATCGATATTATCAATCAGAAACTCAAGCATCTTTTTAATGTTAACTTCAGTACTTGTGTGTACAGTCAGAATGTTTTTTAACAAAATAATTTTGCAAATGACCAATGACAAGGTAAGTAAATTTACGAGTTCCATTTTTATTGAAAAAGCAGCTGTCAATGATATCAA